TAAATAAATAAATTATTAAAGTTTTATATAATTATAATGTGTAAAATTTATATATAAACAGATTTTTTCTCTATAAATATATACATATTCTTATCCTATTTTATCTTTTTTAAAAACTAATAATAATAAGCAAGCATGTATAGTTGAATGTTCATTAGTGTTGTGCATTGTCAGTCCTTGTTAAAGTGATTAGCACTCTGGAGGTATATTTGATAAAGTTTGAGGCGGTAATATAACCGCCAGCCCACTCTTAATATTGCTAATTTTTACCCATCCAAACTCACAGTTTTAAAACATGTCTTGCATCCGGCCGGTGTCCCCGATGAAAGACGGTAGAGAGAGAAACTGAAACCAGATTACCAACACCAACCCCCCTCCGGCCGGTGTCCGCCGGACATGGAGGGTAAACCCATACATAGATCGTTTCTGAGAGAGCGAGCGCAACCTTTACCAAAACCATACCAACCCAAAACCTCAACCCAAAAACCATCTGGGATATGATAAGACGCTGAAAGGGATTAACAGAGGGCATCGAGGACCATTTGAAGGCTATGGCAAAGGGGTTCTCGAGCAAGCAACACCATTCTTCTTCACCAACTTTCCTGAGGATTGGCCGATCAACGAAATGTGGCATGCATTTATTAAGTGTGGAAGAGCGATTCAGGTGTATGTTGCAACCAAAAGGGACAAATCAGGACGCAGATTTGGTTTTGTCCGATTCCTGGACGTGAAGAACTACAGAGCTATGGAGGAGAAATTGAATCAGATCAAGGTGGGCCAACACACAATAAAGGCAAATCTGGCAAGATTTTCAAAAGATGAAAAGCAGAGGAGGAATTACCCTCCAACTCATTCTAACGCAGGAGCTAAACGACAATCAGCCACTTACGCAGAGGTGTTAAAGAATGGAACGGGGAAGCAAGCAGGACAAACAAGAGTAGGCCAAAATGTCAAGCCAACTTGGCAAGCAAAGGGAAAAAGTCCAAGCCCAGACTTAAAGCAGGAAGAATGGCACAGTCTGGAGGTTCAACCGAACGAAGAAGCTAAGGAATGGCTATCTAATTGCTATGTGGGGAAAGCAAAATGCCCTGAGATTATTTGTACTCTACAGGACAAATTTTTAATGGAAGGATATTTTTCAGCTTCTCTAACTCCTATGGGAGGCAATTTGGTCCTGTTATCTAGCAGTGATGCTGCAGAACTGAAAAACCTTGTCGAACATGGGAAGGACTGGCTTGCACAATGGTTTTCTGAGGTGAAACCATGGAACCCATCAGATGTAGCTACCGAGAGATTTACTTGGCTGAGATGCCAAGGGGTGCCACAGCATATATGGAAGAGCAGTTTCTTCGAAACGGTTGCTTACTTATTCGGGAAGTTTGTTTCATTAGATGGTAGTACAATAAAGAGGAAGCGACTGGATGTAGCAAAAATCCTTATTTTGACTCCAATGCAGGAAAATATCCAAAGGGTTCTGAGAGTCAAAGTCAAGCAGTCCATTTATAGTATCCAGATTACTGAGGAACTGGGAATTGATAATCTGTTCTCTTTAAAATCAGATTTTGCTCTATGTAGAGATGGAGCCTCATTTTCAGAAGAATGGTCAGACAACATAAGCGGAGGGTCATATGAGGATTCAATGGAAGATGGAGAATGGAGGATGTTGGAGGATGGGGATGACATGATGACAGCATTGGACACAGTGCAGCCGAAGTCGGAGGAGCTTGAAATGGCACCACTGTCAGAGGAAGACGTGGAACGGGTCTCTAAAACAAGGGAGGTGCATGAGAGTGCATTAAATGAAGGAGCGCAAAATTCAAACAATATGGCAACGGGTGACAAGGCTAGGGGGACTACCAGAGAGGAAGTCTTGGAGAAAGTGCATG